CGGCCCTATTGAAGTTTCTGGGAATTTTGCTGTCAACTTCACTGAGACTAGAATTTTACTCAAAAGGTTAAGGTTGGGAGTTCAGTGAGGTATAGCTCCTGCACTGGTTTTGTGAAGTGGAGCAAAATTCATCCTTGGTTTATGTTCCTCAGGGCATGTTTCAGGAGAGACATGCAGAGCCTTTTGATCATATCTGGTATCATTTACATTTTAGTTGATGACCTTCTCAAGTATTAATTTTTTTCCCCAAACAAATTATAATGATTCCTAGAAAGCAGTCTCCCTGAAATGTCAGTAAAATGGATATATATGGCACAAGATCACTATAGTGATAATACAAAGGCCTCCAAGAAAGATAGCTCTTAAAGTACAAAACTTTTTGGAAGCTCAAGAGAGAAGTGAGAACCATCTGAGCCCTCTCCCCCTTCTATGAAACTCATCCTTTCCATTCCAAGCATATGAAAAGATTAGATTTCACACAGAATCTGACTTTGCCCCTATACAAGTGAGCAGGCACCTTCCTTTGACTTCAGTGGGCATATGACTGGGCCTATTATTTTGAAGATTTGTCTTCTAAAATTGCAAAGCATTCCGCGGTAAGGGAGCGAGTGGGGCTGGAGGAGGGGTAGATGCTGCCCAGCCGGGGCAGGGCATGTGACAGAGCCATGAGCTGTTTGGGGGCTCCTGAGTGCTGCTGCCACCCAGCCCGAGCACAGTCCCAGCCCAACCTCCCCCTCCCCACTCCTGCCGGGAAGAGCCCGGCACTGCCCCAGCCTGCCCTCATCCTGCGCACAGATCCAGGAGGGGCACACGCCCCCATGGCTCCCCTAAGGGTGAGTGCAGCAATGGGAGCTGCTCTCTACCCCTCCTCATGCCACCCAGATAAGCCGCTCATGGCACCATCCCCCGCCCCAGCTGCGCAGCGCCTGCGCCAGCCCCCCTCCTCCCTCACTGTGAGGGCCTCAATCTGCCCCCACACCTCCCTTCCCTCCCCACACCCCTCCCCCACAACAGACTTATCAGCCAGATGCTGATTTCCAAGCTGCCATGCTGTATATTGGCATTCGGATCAATATCAGTCGATATGGATTGTTCATAATCGGTATCGGCCCAAAAAGTCTTTATCAGTGCATCCCTAGAAATACATCTTGTATCTGATAATTTTTTCATCCTTCCATCCACCTCTGAATTTAGCCATGGAACCAGCTGACCCATACCTCAACCCCAAGTAGGATATGCTTAGTAAATAGTTACATGCCCAGAGGACAATTTCTACAAAATACTTTATCCTTAGGTCAGTTTGCTTTGTGACCAACTTCAGTGTTAAAAGAGAGGGCTACAAAGTTGCTTTTGAATAAAGCTAGTTACAGTGGGCATGCCTACACATGCAATTAATGTGAAGCAATAAATTCTGGAGCTTATTGCTCCAGGCTATGCCGTTTGAACATGCACCCAGGATCACAGTGTGTTGAGCCAGGTGGGATCAGTCCTGGCTGGCAGAGACCCCGGGGGGTCAGTCTGCAAGCCCGAGGCTGTTCGACTCCAGTTCAGTATGTTATGGAGGGGCTGGCTAGGGCACAAGGGTCTTCCAGTGTGGGGCTAACTGACAGGGGCAGCATTTACACGTTTGTTGCTGTGGCGTAAAAAACTCTACAGCAGGATAGTACTTGTATTTAGTTCTTGTATTTAATTAGTACTTGTATTCAATTAGTTTACTCCAGCCTAATAGGGATGCACGTGTAGATGTCCCACATTTACTGCAAAGCTGGTTAGTCTACTCCCCAGTAAATGTTTCATGTAGACACACCCAGAAATGCCTAATACTCCCAGATGCTGCTAACCCACTTTTAAATGAAGAGAAATATGATCCTCTGTTACAGTCTTAGGTAGGGCGGTGCAAAATTTCACCAGGTGTTTTATTTTGAAGATGTTTTGAGCTCAAAACAGCAAATTCAAAATGAAACAATAGCCTTTGAAATGAAACAAGGGCAATCAAAACATTTTGAAAGTTTCTAAATATTTTGAGTTTTGAAGCTGGGGTTACTTGGCTTCAGTGCTGATCCCAGCTGGCATCCAGTGCAGATCTGGGGGCTGGGCCCCCCTCCCAGGAGGATTCTGGCACATCCCCCAGCCTCCTGGGGGTGTAGGCCCCTGGATCTGTGTGCCACATAACAGCATGCTGTTGCTGCTGGCTGGGACCAGCGGCAGCACCAATCTTCCTGGCGCTCAGCATGGGCTGCGCCCAGTGCTGGTCCTAGCCAGCAGCAGCAGCCACCTTGTCATCCGGCAGGTATATTGGGGACCCACCCACACCCCTGGGAGGGCTGCGGGGCTGTGCTGGACTCCTCTCAAAGGTCCGGGCCCCCGATCTGCCTGCTGCATCACAGGAAGCTGCTGCTGCCCCCGGACCCGGCACTGGGCGCAACCTGTACCCAGTGCCGGGAAGACTGGTACTGCTGCTGGCCCCAGGCAGCAGAACCAGCCTCCTGTCATCTAGCAGGCAGATCAGGGACCCGCATCCCTGGGAGGAGTCCAGCACAGCCCCTGCAGCCCTCGTGGGGGTATGGGTGGGCTCACATTTCACCGTTTATACAGCTGCACGTGTCGCAGCACATTGCAGATTAATAGAGTCTTCTCCAAAGTGGCAGATCTCCAGCGTATCAGGGGACCAAAAATCTGTAAAATTCCCATGGTTGACTTGTATAATTTTATTTTTGCAAAGTGGTTTAAATATTTATTAAGTAATATTCCACTGCGTGGGTGAGGCCCAGCATCAACATTCTCATTTGTGTCCATGAGAGATTTGCTGATTGAGGGAAAAGCAGGCCTCAAAATGGAATGCTTTCTAGTTTGTTATACTCCACTTTCGATTGTCAAGGCATTGAAATATTTCATTTCCAGTCTTTCAAAGAAATCTTTAGGATGGATGAGGTCAATTTTCACGTGCTGCCAAGTCACATCAGTTTTCATAAAACATAATATCCAGTGCTTTTTCATCACAGTGAATGATTGTTTTCATGTTGCAGGCAACTATTAAATATCAATTTTCCCCCTCAAAAGCTGTAAAATACTTCTAATAAAGCAGAAAGTTGGCAGTCACTTGATTTACATTTTAGTCAAAAAGCCAAGTTTTGGCATTAGTTTTTTCTTTATTAAATTAAAAAGCAGTTCCTTCAATATATCAAAAATTGCTCACAAATACTGTATTTCTATGTCTCTTAGCAGTTACGTAGCTCAGCCCTCTACTACCCTTCTGCTACACAATTCTCATGAGGAAATAATGGAAGGAGACAGTAAGTTAAATGACCAATGAGTCAGTTCAAGTTTTATGTTTTAATTCCTGATTTGTAATCATTTCTGCATAAATTATGCTTATTTTACTGTGTAGTGCAGTATATGCATGAGTTCAGTGTCTCTTTATGCATCTCATTATCTACAATATGTTTTAAGTAGTGTATGTTGAGGATTTATTTAATAAATAATGAAGTTTTATTTGGTATCTCTGATCAACTTTTCCTACTCACGTTTTTGCTTCCAGATGTGGGCAGTGTATGTTACACCCACACAGTTATGCATAGAGTGGCTTTCAAGAAGTATTTATTTTCAGAATTTCTCTCTGACTGCACTTGGAGCAGCATATAACAGTACAGTGGAAGAGAGGTTTTTTTATTTTTATATTGTATTGTTAAGAATACTGTGCCAGATTCTGTCATGGGTACATGGAGGCATAACTTAGGGGTAGAAATTGGCACCTAGGGTGACATTCACTCCCATACAAAAGAATTGTATAAGCACTTCAGCACTATTTAAGGCCTAACTGTTATTAGACTGGACCCTTATTCTGCAAACAGGATGAAATGAAGAGTAATGGATTTAAGCGCATGCTTAAGTGCTTTGTAGAATAAGACCATTATGGAGAATGTAGATGGTAAAAGCCTGCACAAGGCTGCTTTTACTCCTCTGGTTTGGAAGGATGAGTGGGGAACTTTTTATCTAAGACCTAAAAATAATTTTTGACTTATAGACAGATGCAAGACAGCTTTATTCAGCAAGAAGTGCATAATTCTCTAGCTGAATTCTTCATTAAATTAAAACTAAATCCAAGGAACTGATTGAAGCTTATATTCTGTAACCATCCTAGTGCAATTTCCAGAGGCTCTGTACACATCTACCCTTGGTTCCATATTTTAGAAAATTCATCCTGTCTTCTTGTCTTGAGATCCCTCTCTGTGTAGTTCACAACTTCATCCTTTCAAATGTCTTGCACACAATGAAGACCAGAGGTGAGTGAGATTTAGATGAACACACACCTAGAGCCAGTTGAAAGAATTCTCATGGATAACCTACATTATTCATTTATCTCAGCGCTAGCTTCTTCCTTAATCAAAAGGAAAACTGGGGTTTAAGTACCGTTACACTTAGGATGCAAGTGCTAGGAAAGTGGTTGCATTTTTTTAAAGCAACCCAAGGAGGCTTGATACCTTTTTCCTATTAGCTTTAATTGGAATTGGGCATCTATATCCATAGGCCAAGGGTGGCCAGAGTTAATTACCCTGGGAACCACATCTGATCCTCCACTGACGTTCAAGAGCCAGGGTGGGGGGCAGGGAAGAAAGGGTGCTGAACAACCTGGAGTGTAGATGACACCCCTCTGCACCACTGAGACTCTTCAGTTTTCCCCATGGGGAACATGCCCCAGGGTAAGCAATATGGCTACAGCCCCCAGCCCAGCACCTGATCTGGCAGTCCCAGAGGGAGAGAAAGGGAGGAGGGCAGGCTCAGGGCACGCTCCCCAGGGAAAGCCGGAGCGGTGGGAGGTGCTGGGCTGCACTGTCCTCTGGAGCTGAGAAGTGGGCAGGGCCTTGGCCAATTTCTGGAGAGGCACAAGTACTGTGCCGGCAAGCTGCATGCAGCTCACAAGCTGTGGTTTGGCCACCGTAGCCATAGACCCTAATAAAACTCAACTTTAAAAAGGTTTAAAGCTTTAAAAAGATTTCTTTCTCACAGACATACTACATTGGTAAACTGTGAGAGCAGCACTGCACCCAGGCTCTTGTTAAGTACTTGTCATTCATATGGCACAGTTGCTACTCCTGGGGCACATCAAGTGCAGAGCCATTTATGTGTATGTGTAAGTAAATATTTCCAAGCCATTTAGGGGGTTGAGATGCCTTGCAGGATCCAGTGATATGAAGATACCAGTTTGGAAGGGATACCAGAGCCTTTTCCTAAAGCATAGAGCGGAAGCAGTGAGCAGAACAGATCAGGAGGGTGAAAAGCTATCCCCAGTGGAACTGTGTTGCCCTTAGTGCATCTCTTTGTTGTGCTTATGCTGTGATCATAGCACAGCTTTAGCGTGTTGCAAAAGCAGTCTCTGTACATCTGCAGTGGCTAGTTTTGTGGAAGTCACTAGTCCGGACATTTCTAGGTGTTCTTTTCAACAGTGATGAGAAAAAAAAACCCTACTCAAAAGAATTAAAATAATTTACCCACCTTAGGAGCTTATTATATGTAGGGATCTACTTGATTCTCAATTTCACAATTTTCACAGAACCAGCAAAAAGGCAGTTTCCACAGTCACCATGAAAACTGGTGTTCCCCACAGTTTTGTGTGGAATCAGGGTGGGGGAAAAAACCCTTATTAAATATAAAATACTGGCTCCCCAGTGGGAGACAGCAGCTGCTGCGACCCAACCTCACAGCCTGCTTGGGGGGAAGCTGCTGGCAGGCGTAGGAATAGCCAAGATGACAGCTGTGCCACCCCTCCCACCCCACCCCCCACTGCTTATTGGCAGAGAGGCCTACATTTTGCATGGTCCTGCCCCTCTCCACCAATCAACAGTGAGGGGCAGGGCTGCATGAAGGACAATCCTCTCTACCAGCCAGCAGTGTGGGGAAGCTCACCGTGAAAAGACCGTGAAAATGGTGCTGGGCACTGCAAGCTGCCTGTGATTTTTACTTTCCCTCTGCACACTAAGTAAATCCCTAATTATATGTCATATTTCTTTTTCTAAATGGAAAGTATTCTTGAGTTATGCTGTGACAAAAACCCAACTTTTATACTTACATTCTCCATAAATGACAATAAATAATGCAGTACAATCAAATCTCATGTTTCACATAATTTTTCACACTTGATTCTGCTTGAACTGTGAAGCCAGCATGGCCTGCATATAACAAGTTGTACTTGCTGTGTCATAGGTTCCTGCACAATCCCAATTTATTTATAGGCATTCCTGTGGCAGGCATGTGGTTGCTTTGGGGTTTCCATCATTGAAGGAATTTTTTAATTGGCAAAGATTTATTTTATTGATTTCATTTTTCTTAATTTCAGGAAATAGTTTTTTTTCCTTGTTAGGTAAAATTCACACCCTGCAAAAGGCCTGTGTCCTGCTGAAGCCCTCAGATGACGGCTCGACTTGGAAGTAGATACTTCACTAGTCTCTTCCTTGGGTCTTTTGTGGGTGAATTTCTCCTGTTAAATTCTGAGTATTGATTTTTCTTCCAAAATATCAGCTCTGGTTCTAAACTAATTGAAATTGTCCCTTTAATTTTAATATCATGGGAAGCAACATTATATGAAGAAATGTACATGTGAGAATGAATGTAACCAGTGTCTCTTCTGCCCAGTGGTCTCTTTTTTCTCCATGAGTTCTATATAGCAGAGGAGGAAATGACTGAAATGAGATTTAGTAGTACATCATCATGGAATATATATGTACAATTATGTTATCACCATCCAACCTGGACATCACACATTGCATGATAGCTCATTATTGAGAAAATGTCACCCCATAAAGCAGCCTAAGTATTTCTGGCACTCCCTACAGCAAGTTGTCATTCTGAACTAACCCTATCAACCAGACCTTTTATTTTTCAATGAGGACCCAGATGTAGGTATTTCTCTTCCCTGAGTTAAGGTGACTACACTGGGGGAGGTCTTAAAAGGCACTATTCAGGCCTTTCAGCCTTAGCCCACTGGTAAGTGAATTTTAGCAAGCACTGTATAGTTAATTTCAGAAAAAAAAAGTGATGCCTGTGATATATGGTTAATATTTTTGTGCAAATATACACATCTGTTTGGGAGGCTTTAATTTATAATTGCATGTAATATAAGGTTATTTTGTGTAGATTGGACATGTATGCAAATACAGCAGCAGCATAACAAGGGAAAGCTTCCATATTTATAAATATGGGGCCTCTTTCTGAAGCCTTTATTTTGCAGTTACACACATGGGTAGTCTAATAGCTAGTAATCATGAGAGCTACTTATGACATCCTACCTATCTTGGGTAAGGTGTGTAGAATTAGGGGCATTATTAACAATCAGGTAGTCCCTTTTCTTGGTTTTATTTAACAGATTCTTTTTAAACAGGCACACTGGATCCAGAGAAAGGGAACTAGAGATCTATACCTAGCCTTGTTCATCATGGGGATATTGCGCCTCAGAAAGACAAACTGAACCATCAGGCATGAAGTCCTTATTCAAACTGAAAAAAATATTTTTCAGTAGAGGTAATTTTTTTAAATTTTATTAATAATAAAAGAATGTTAGTGACAATAATACTTAATGCTTACAGAGCTCAGAGCTTGATCCTACCAACACTTACACGTTTAATTTTACTAATGTAAGTGGACCCATTGAATTAAATAAGTCTACCTGTGTAAGTAATGGTAAGGAAGTGCATTGTACAGCACTAATTTTACAACTGTTCTTCCAGTATACTCATTGAAATTTTGAGATCAGTGAAGTCAATGGAAGTTTTTCATTAACATCAGTGGAACCTAGATTACACCCAGAATTTGTGTAAATGTTATCTTAAATAATAGAATTATGTATAATTTCTATGCATATTACTAATAGGTATGGAAGATCTGATGACTGGTTAAGTAGTATATCTTTTCTTTAGACTAAATTTTTAACTTGAGTAACGTAAATATTTTTTTTCCAGAGAGAAGAGGATCCAGAGCCTTTTTCTCTTTTTCCTTTGAAAGTTATTTAAAAGCCCCCAAATAAATTAGTTTGTTTCTTAAAAATAAAATATTCTTGTTACACACATTCTTGTGCTTTTGTTCCTGAGTTATGTACGCAGGGTGTATGGGACATGCGTCTGTTTGCGTACAGATATGTCCATGCTGTGAAGTATTGTGGGTTATTCTCTGTGTCCTCCTTGGGATTCTATTTTAGACTGATAGTGTACAACAGTGGGCTCTAGTAGCTAAATTCCTAGAGTCCGGTTTACCTGTTAGAAACCTGTGTTTCAAGAACCAAAACTCCTATTTTTCAATGTTACCTAATGCATATGTATAATGAACACTGTCTTTAAAACCCCGGTTCTTTACAGTATTTCTTAAAGTCTAAGGGATTTGCATTGTGGAATATATTTATGTAGGATGGGTTTGACCCTGAAAGATTCTGAGCAATGTGGAGGTGCTGTGTTCCTTCACTTCTCACTGTGTGCAGCTCCTTGTTTCAACACACAGCCTTGAATCATTTTTTACACACACACACACACACACTAATTGTAAGTACATGAATGATTCCATTGGTTTCATGAATCTGTAGTTGTCTGACCTTGTCTAGACCTCAAACTCACTGTGCCCAATAGCAGCACCCTGAAATGCCCCACGCTTCTCCTTGCTTGCTAGTTTCCCAGTGCAAGCTGTGTAATCATGTCAACAGCAGAGAGAGGTGGCCACACTTCTTCTAGTTAGGGGATAGCATGCCCAGTACAATGGGTTCATAGATTGCCAATGTAGTAAGTTTGCAGTGTAGACATAGCCCAAGTTGTTGAATGGGCCTTAAAACAACTATCTGTACAAGCAACAGTAACTTTTGCTCAGTACTAGCCAGGACAAGAATATGTATCTTACTTTTACTTACTTTTAAATTATTTATTCCTACTTTCTTTGTTCCTTCTATCTTTTTGTTACAACTGATTGTTTGATCCCTTCCCCTATTATTGAGTCTTTGTTGAAGAATGCTGAATTCTTGCAAGTTTAATTGGACAATTATGATGGATGATTGTTTCTCAGGGTTCTGAAAAAAATGAATTTATACAAGGTATACATTTTTCATTAACAAGGTTTCTAGCCTACTTTTGTTGAATGCACTATTTTGGAGGTGTATGTCAAGTAAGTAGAAAAGGTTATTTGTCTTATGCAAACAGTGGTAGGTGAAAAGAAATATATTAATACTTTTCAGGATCTCCAAAATAGTACAGTTAATGTATTTTAAATATGTAAATTACTTTTGATTCTTGCTTATAACATTTTAGAAGCCTGAAATTGAAACACCTAAGGCTGCAGTCCTTCAAAGAGTAATGTAAGTGTTTAACTTCATGCACTATAGGTAATCCCATTGGCTTCAAAGGGACTAACCAGCATACAAAGTCAGCCCCATGCTTCAGTCACTCCAGAAGCAGAACCTAAATCCAGTGCTGATTCTTAAAAAATCGATGTTTATTATTATTTTTTGGTGGAAAAAAAAGAAATGCTGTTTATTTTAAGCAAAATTTTCTGTTTTGAAGAAATGTTTGTAAAACTATATGCATTTTGTGAGTGGATACAAGAACAATGGAAAAAGAATTGGGCCTGTCATCCTATACTTCTTAATATAGACAGAGAATTGGACTTAGACAAGTTTTGGCCTGAAAATCACCCTTTATGTTGATATAAACAGAGAACAGATGCATGCCAACATAAGTTCCTTGAATCTGGTGTAGAGGAAAATGAGTAGAATTATACCCATGTAAGTGGAATACATTCATAGCTATCCAAGAGTAACCATTTTTTCTTATGCCACTGATTCTCAACCAGGGTGCTATGGCACACTGGTCTGCCTTGACATCCTTTCAAGGGTGTCACAAGGTGCCATACAATGTTAGATGTGCAAGTGTGATTCACAAGATAAACCCAGAGACTTCAAATAGGAATCTATAGTGTTAAAACCTTTTGTGCTATTGTGATCTTTCTGAGTTCTTTGTACAGAAGAATTGCTCTTCTACTTTTCTATAGTCAAAAAATGAACAAAAACTAGAGGTGACAGTTTCCAAGCAATGTCTCGAGTCTGAAAAGGTTCAGAACCACTGTCTTAAGCAAACTGTGTCATTCTTTCCTGCCACCTCGTGGTAAAGTTTTGCAATAGTTCCTACTGTGAACCACTACTGGGTGATTGCCTTCTCATTAGAACTTTAAACAAAGTACTCAAGACTTTTTTCTTCCTCTCTCATTATTAGCTGTGTAGTGTTGCTAGTGCAAAATGGCCACTTTGTTACATTCTAGAAAAGGTTTCATTCAGCAGTGGATGAAGTGAGCCCTGTATAGTTGGGAGGCCATAAATAGGAGTTGCACACTTGGGATGAGTATAGGATATAACCTAGAGTTTGTATAGTGCGGTGGGTTCCACCAAGATGAAAGTAGCAGAATTTATTTTTAAAAGATGTACTATTTTTCTGTACTTTTAGCCTGACAAACACAGCTGTAAAAGATTTTTTTAAGTGGTTTAGTGGAACAATGCTACATGTATACATATAGGAATACAAAATTCTTTGCCAATTTAACTTTGCTGATGTATGACCAGAAACATTCAATGGTATCTGCCCAATTCTTCCTTACTTTGTTTATGTGCATGATCTCAGGACTTCCACAGTAACTTATGAGTAAAATGAGCAGGCTTTGACCCATCTTATGTCAGTTGAAAAGGTCAAGTGCACGGTGGTCAAGAGCAGCAGTGTTTCAAATTATTCATATTTCTGCAAGAAGTGTCAATGGAAACACCTACTAAAACTTAGCAGCTAGACTGTGCAATATTATATAATAAGGAGTTGCAGGAAGGTCCCACACAATGGCATTTTCAGTTATTTTGAAGGAACACTGCCCTCTGTGGCAGTGGGTTGCGTAGACAAAATCAAAGGCAGAATTTGTTCCTAGGTATAAAAAGTAGTTTTCTATTAGAACGATTGTGTTTAGCATTGTTTGCTGGCATGCAGTTGGTGAGATTGTATAGGTGGAACTGAGAGCAGACTTATAAATCTCTTAATGAGATTTTATACTAAATATGTACGGTGTAAGAGCTTGTTGTGGGCCATTACATTTAAATGCAAAAAGCTTTAGCTGCTGGCTGTATAATCCACCGCATAAGCTAGTGAATTGAAGTGGTAGGTACGTGGGTATTAGATGCAAATATACATATTTTTCGTGTCACTTATTGGGAATTGGCAAGAGATCTTTTGACCGTTGATAACCTTGCTGTTCCTTCTGTTTTAAGATGGTGAATTTCTACCACTCTTCCTGCCCATGAGTGCAGCCAGGAAAAAGCACAGAGGGATGGTGGTATCTGCACATTATCCATGCCTAGACAAATCTGCTGCTTATCTACATGACCAATTACATGACCATAGCAGGATCAGTTAATACACAGGGAGAGTCACCTCAGTCATTCCCAAAAAGCAGTATTTGAAAATCCCCCCTTCATCCAGTGTTCTTTTAAATGCATGTTCCTAAATGGACATGTAGGAACATGGTGCTTCATGCAATTACTCAGCTGATGTTTTTCACCACAGAGAGGACTGCATTTCCTGGTGGCTGGAGTAATTACTTGGAAAAAATGTTTCTGAAGTGCTTTGAAAATGTTAAGGCTAATACATAAAGCTATAAGCCCAAGTTACTGCATTACATGCGGTGGTCATCCCAGTGCTGAAGCTGCCATTATAACATTCTCATAGCCTTTTTTTGTAGGAATTATGTTTCTTACCTCTAAACAGAACTTTTTAAAACAGAATATGTGTTTCTGTGCCTCTTGAAAACTAAACCTGAGCAATTTCACCAAGTAGCCTGTTCCCTCACCATTATGACATATTAACTTTTGTTTTAAATGATAGCTGTAGGTGCCTGAAAATAAAACAGAACTAACTCCAGCAGTCTTCATTGTATTATCATTCTTTAATCCAGATACATACTATTGTTATCTTTCATAATTATCATTTATAAGAACTTGATTTTTCCTAATGAGTACATTTCAGAGAGAGGAGAATCAGGTCCATTTGTTGCCTCTGCTGTCATGACATGATTACGTATGTCTGTCTTGGTGACACATGGTCCATCAGCCCTGATGTTCTAAGTCTGGAAAGTAGATTAAGTCAAACTCATTCCTAAAATTGCTTCACTAAAACTAATGGCATTGCACTAAAGGGAACTTCTACACAAAAGTTTCAGAAAATATATTTACAAGAACTTTAGTGGGCTCTACACATAGTTTGTTCCTTGATGATAATATACTATGATAGATGATGAAATCATGTCCCCTATTGAAGTCAATGGCAAAGCTCCCAGTATGGAAAGCTTCAAAATGATTCATTTTGAAGTATTCTTTTCAAGTGAAGATCTCAGAATTAATTATAATATTATCATACTTTGTATTTTATGCGAGTAAGTAACATTTATTGCCATTTCTCACCACCACTTTGTTCCATGTTTCAATGTGTTACTCAAGGAAAAAAACCCTTACTAGGTCATCATGTTACCAAAAAGGAGTATATGCACATACATTCAGATGCTGCCAAAGCACATGCAAACCTTGGTTTTCTTTGCATAGCAAAGTATGTCGGGCAAGTTGTTTGTGTGCTACTGTAGAAAGGGTTAGATCAGTGAGAACCAAGCACTTTCGCAGGAGCGCTACAAATTAGTCTTGTAACCTCCCTGAGCACCAGTCCAATCCCCTTCCAATGCCTGATCTGCTGCTCTGTTTTCTGCTTCCTTACCAGCCTGCTGTTCTGCTTTCTGCCTCCTGCCCCATGCTTCCTGCCTGATCTGCTGCTCTGTTTTCTGATCCCTGCCTTATCTAGCATTTTGTTGCCTGTCCTCCTCCTCCCCTTCCCACCAAATCTGCCGCATGCCATCTCCAAAGGCTGCTTGTGCCAGTTCGGGCACTTGTGCTGCAGGTTGGTCACCTCCAGATTAGAGCATTTTTTCCATGTGCACCATGTGCTTTTCAACTCCTTAGATGGAATCCTTCTTCACTAAAGTGAAACGCATCAAGGAATCTGCTGGTTTTGAACAATTCCACACCCATCAAAATTTCCCCCAATGCCCACTGGCTCCAGTTTGAGTGCAGACAGTATGTTCATAATGGAAACAAGCTTGGTGTTTTGGGGACACTAAATTCAACAAATAAAATACATACTTAATGGGGGTCTTATTTTAGAGACTTCTTTTCAGAGTGCCTGTCAGAACTAAAAAAAAAAATACTCCATTTGCTATATTTGCCACACATGCAAACTGACAGGGATAAAACATAACTTGTCTCTTCTAAGACCATGTCTAGATGAAGTCTGCTGTTGACAAAACTCCATTAGGCTGTATAAAATGTTGTAATGTCAATGCTGCAAAATTTTTATTCGTAAATATTCACAGTATTAAGTACATTGTTAATAGGCAAGATGTTCCATTTGTTTGTCTCCATTTAAACCAGAAGTTATTTGGAGTAAATTTAACATAATACAACCATAAGTTTAACCTCTCTACTGTGTCCAACATTGAATTTATTAACAAAATTTTACAGGATTTGGCCCATTGCCTTCAGCTGCAACTAATTTGGTTTTATTTATAGGAAGGGGGAAGAATTCACCTAGACAGGTCCTATATTGTATTGCTTTGTTGAGGGAAGCCCTGTCATTCCAATATAATAATTGTGGCTTTTTTTTACTGTACAATTATTACAATTGCAATAATTGTACAGTAGGCAAGCCAGTCATTTAGCTTTTCAAAGTTCAGTGCATTCCAAGTAATATCCAGTACAATTTTTCTAATTTTTATGGACAGATTTAAATTTTTAGCTTCATTCTACCCTCTTCAGGCAGATAGTTTTTCCTGGGGGCATATAAGCATGAGCAATGCAGAGTATAGCTATCCAAGGTATTATGAACATGAGTATCATGTAGAGCTACAGTAAAGAAAAATTGATATAATTTGAAATACTTATTCTCCAGAGTTCCTTTTGTAGGTTAAATGCACAGCAGTGACTTTTCTCTCTGTTATGCAGAGGAGCCAATATACTGTTACACACCACACAACTTCACCCGCGACCAAGCCTTGTATGCCAGAGGATATTGTTGGACAGAACTAAAAGATGCCTTGCCAGGAGTTGATGCCAACCATTGGCCCTCCTTGTTTGAGCATAAGTTCCTTCCTTATGCACTGCTAGCTTTTGCTGGTATAATGTACATTCCAGCTCTTGGCTGGGAGTTTCTGGCCTCCACCAGACTGACTTCAGAGCTTAATTTTTTGCTTCAGGAGATTGATAACTGCTACCACCGTGCAGCAGAAGGGCGTGCACCAAAAATAGAGAAACAAATTCAGTCCAAAGGCCCAGGAATCACGGAGAGAGAGAAGAGAGAAATCATTGAGAATGCAGAGAAGGAAAAAAGCCCAGAGCAGAACTTGTTTGAAAAATACTTGGAAAGAAGAGGGAGAAGTAACTTTTTAGCTAAACTTTATCTTGCAAGACATTTATTTATAATATTTTTAAGCATTATACCCATCACATATTTATCCACCTACTATGCTACCCAGAAGCAAAATGAGTTTACGTGTGCACTAGGGGAACCTCCGGACAAAACAAGCAGCTCCAAATTGCACATCCGCGTGAACTGTAAACTGCCATCAGTCCAGCTCCAGCGTATAATTGCTGGAGTGGACATTGTCCTCCTCTGCTTTATGAACTTAATCATTCTTATCAACTTAATTCACCTCTTCATATTCCGCAAATCCAACTTCATATTTGATAAATTGAACAAGGTGGGGATAAAGACCAAAAAACAGTGGCAGAAGTCTCAATTTTGTGATATCAATATTCTAGCTATGTTTTGCAATGAAAATCGGGACCATATAAAATCACTGAACCGCCTGGATTTTATTACAAATGAAAGTGATCTGATGTATGACAATGTGGTACGGCAGTTGCTTGCAGCCTTGGCTCAGTCGAACCATGATGCTACACCAACGATGCGTGATTCAGGGATTCAAACGATAGATCCCAGTATTGATCCAGCAGACATTGATGCCAATGAACAGCTCATCATTAAGAGACCTAGAAAGAAAATGAAATGGATTCCAAGTAGCAATCCACTCCCTCAGCCATTCAAGGAGCAGTTAGCCATTATGAAGGTTGAAAACCACAAACCTGAAAAGCCTAAGCCAGTGCGCAGAAAAACAGCAACTGACAGTCTTATAGCTCCTCTGCTAGAGTCCACAGCAAAATCCTCACAGCAATCATCATCTCAGAAAACTGAGCCAAACACCATCTCTGGTGCAAATAATGAAAAAAAGCATACACGCCACTTTTCCCTGGACGTCCATCCATATATACTTAGTAGTAAAAAACCCAAACCAGAGATTCAAGCCATTGCCTCAATGCCTACATCCAATAGTCAAGAGGGTGGATTTTTAAACCAAGAAGAAAATGTCATAGTACATGTCACCTCTTCTCTCAAAGGTACAGTATGCTGTTTCAGTACCATTTCAGCAGTGACAAACCCAACAGGCCTTAAGTTGTTGTAAAAGGTTGAAATCCGTGATGATCAGATCTGTTTGTTCTCTCTTACTAGATTTCTAAATAGCCCATAATATAAAAGCAGGGAAGCCT